TTAAAACTAGAGATGAACAATAAGAAATACGCGTGGCTTTCGAGATATCGATATAGGACGAATTCGACCTGTCTATCCTTCTTAATATAGGAAATTTCCATTCTATTTTTGTCTGCGTGAAGAAAGACAATTCTTCATTCAATAAAATTCTGAATTTTACTCTGAAATTTAGAATGCAATTCTCATAAAAAGATTTTAATATAAAAGACAGAATATTGAAGATAGAAAACTTCAATTTTTTATTGAAAAATCAGTCGATTCTTTGAAGATCCAAGTATAAATATATAATTCTGTTGCAAAGTTATGAACTATGATAAGTGCGTTTTTTAAAATTTAAAATACACGTTAAAATTCAAAATAACTGTTTCGCTTCAATTTCGAAATTCATTAATGGAATTGAATTTATAATGAGATGCTGGACCTAGACGTTCGGCGAAAATTTTGCAAAGAACAATCGGTGAACGTGAAAAAAAGCCAATTATGGCGTTTTCTGGAGTATTTTTATGAATTTTTTTGCAATGAAAAATGCAGAGTCAATGGAGCCTGATGGCGTGACCGGTTCGAGCTTCGATTTCATTAATAAGTCACGCGATTCGTATGTTAAATGTTTCGTGCATACGTTGTCATTATAGACTTCCTTGTTCTGTCTCCTCAGACGGTTCACCTATTACTCGACTCAAGATTTGTTATTTGAGAACAATGATAATAATGTGGTTACGACTTGTCGAGGAACGCAGGATGCGAAACGCCGATGAATTCAATAGACCTCGCGGCTAAATTGCAGTACGTGAAAGTCTGCTATTTTCGTAATGAAAACTTATCTTTATCGAAGAAGCAACAACTATTTGACAGCCACCATTTTCCCCTGATTCAATGAAAGTTACCGTAAACTAACATATCATTACCGAATAATAACTTCAATTATCTGATTGATTTTCACCGCAGATTTGCTTGTTCGATATCAGTAATTGAATTCAATTGGAGAACTAACAACCAATAATCATTGATGATCACATAATGCTACAGAACACATGCAAACATTTACCAACGTTAAGATTAAGATTGATTTGATGGTGTGCGTGTCGTAAGTACCGATGATGACTCTTCTCTGGTGTAAAAATTCCGCTTGAAAAATTCCTTAACAATCCCCTAAAACTCCCTTTATTATAAACAATCAAGAATTGTTAAGGCCCCAAAGACGTTGCTTGGAGTCAACGACGGAATTCACATCCTTAACCTCAAAATGAGTGAAACAATTTTTTTGTCTCCTGAAAACATCAGCAAAATCATGAGAAACGAGGTAAAATATGTGTTAATGTCCGCATAACTCTTGAAACTGGGTCAAGATTTTTTTTTAAAGCTTCTACTCGAGACAATGAGCAGTGGTTAATTGGTGTTCTATGAATTTGAAGGAGATTACTGCGAATCGAGGATCGCCAGACGGCGGTTGAATTTCTTGCGCCTTTGAACCATTGCAAAACCTGATGAGCCGATGGAAAGAGGGAGTAAAGGGTACAAGAGGAGGGGACCAGCGATGTCTCGAGTCGCCTTTCGCTCTACTGGAATTTTAATTATAAATTAGTTGATTAACTCAATAGGGTTTTTGCGCGACGCACACGATCCCCACCATCTTGACGTGCGTGACACAGACACCATTCTGAATTCAACACGGGTTTTGTTGGCAACAGAAGGTTTCTATACATCAGATGGTCAAGGTCGATTGAAAGAGGCAAATAAAAACATATCCATGTTTTTATTTACCACCGACGTTTACGGATCATCGCAAGAGGAGAATTCAACCGTTCAAATTACCATTGACATTGGAAATTGTTGCAACATAGTAATGGTCATTAACGCACTCTAACTAATAGTTATACATTCTATCATCATCATAATAGAAGGCACAAGGTAACGGCTCACTA